GAAAATCTAAGTGTAAAAACTCGAGTGAAAACTCCTAAATTCCCGAGAAATACACGCCACCAGGGCGTTGCACTCTCTAGGGTTTAGGGTTTAGGGTTTAGGGTTTAGGGTTTAGGGTTTAGGGATCATGATGACGGTGGTGGCGATTGCCACCGACTATTCTGTACTATGGCTTCTGTCAGAAGTACAGACCATGGAATTCAAGTTCATCCCTCTTTGCTCATTCTTTTCGTGAACCACAGTACTAGTCATTTACTACTCGTAACTAGTCGTCGTCGAAATCATAGGACGTGGAGGAGAAAGGCGGGAGCAGCGGACATAATATGGAGGCCTTAATAATTAGANNAGAATAGGGTTTTGGGTCCCATATACCCCAAAATACGAGAGGTACTTATTTAGGCCCCTAGACTAATTATTTGCTTCTGATGTCCAGCTTCGTGAACCCGGAGACAGGCACCAAGCACCCAAAAGGCTGCAGATGTGCCTCACAGCACTGAAACTGAAGCTTTTCCACTGGAGGCCTGACGTCTCAAACAGCCCCCGTCCAGTCTCAATCAGAACTGGGCGAGGACACAAAGACCGCTAGGGCATCTTGGAAGCCCGTTCTCCGGATGCATCCAAAGGATTTAGGGTTTAGGGCTTAGGNNTTAGGGTTTAGGGGTCAGGGTTTGATGCTGTTGATCGGGCTTTTGCTTTTGCTGCTGTTGCTCCTGCTCCTACAAGGGCCGTTGTCTGACAGTTGCCTGACTTCCATACCTCCTACCCTCACCAGTGAACGGTTGTCAATTCAGGATCCATCTTATATAGTGGCAGGTGCTACGGTGCCTAAATGAGTGCAACACAAGCGAGCTACCCAGCTGTACCATTCTGAAACCAAGCCTGGGTGTTTGAGGGCGCCAAGCTTGTTTGCGTGAAGTGAAGGGTCCTTACAGGCTTTGTCTGGATTGGTGTGTCTTGAAGCTGCAAGGTGGGTGTCGCATAGTTTGGGGTATTGGGGTTTGAGTCGGCGTTGGATGCATCTGCTCTACCTTAGTACTTACACTTTGCTTTTGCAGCTACTCGTGCACATCGCTGTACCGCGCGATGGCGTAGACGAGCGCCCCGATCAGGCAGCAGGCAAATCCGGCCCACGAGGAGATGCTGACCGTGTTGTGCTGCAGGATGACCCCTGCCAGGACTCCAGGGTTCAGTGTTTAGGGTTCACGGGTTTAGCGTTT